GTATTTTATAGCATAAACTTTTCTCTGAGTAGCTCCACTAAATTGTCTGTCCAGATTTCAAATGCAACAAACTCATAGCTCAAGGAAGCAAAAGCTCAGAATCACACTGGACATAACCATAAAACAACTACGGGAGGAGGTGGAATAAGAGCTCAGAAATAACTTCTTTTGTATATAAGACATAGGACTAGATTAGCCTAGGGGTGTACAAAGAACCGTTAAACCGCTCAAGCCGCTTAACCAACAACCCAATTAAACCCACCCAACCCATTAAACCACCAAACCTCTAAACAACTGGGTTAGCCTAGCTCAATTTAGTTCAATCCAACCCGCCACTAATATATATAATTTCGATAAAATTTTATTTATATCTATATGTGTAAAATTTTATATAACGTTTGTTGATTTATGTTTGTATTTCTTTTTAGTTATATGTATAGTATAGGTTGCCAAAAGAGATTCACGACCAAAGAATGATGACAAAGAATCTAATAGGAAAAGTTATTGGAATCAGCTTTGTAGCAACAACGATGGATGTGTCGGAGAATATGAACGAAGTTGATAAATACGTGGTTGACGAATCTATCAATCAAAAGGCTCCCCCATTTGATGTTTTACTTTGATGGAAATAAAATGCTAACAGTTGTAGCATTTCACTACAACATTAGGGGCCTATTTGTTTTTTGAAAATCTCCTCTTAAACACCTCTTAAGTCTGATTCGTTCAGACTGTTTGTTTTTTTTCTTCAAAATAAGAGCTTAAATGGTGTAACCGTTGTCTGAATTTTTAAGTGAGAAACCTAGCCCTTAATACCTTTTAAATCGTAAACGCCTCCGCCTCCGTCTCTGCCTCCAAATCTCGCTCTGAGCTCTCGATTTCAAGCTTCGATCTCTCCCGGTGCTCTTGATCTCTCAAGAAAGGTAAACTTTATTAGTCTTCACTGTATGTGGTTAAGTTTATGTATGCAAACGAGTTGTCAAAACCTGGTAGTGGGTCTTTCGGTGCCAATCAAATAGGGGAAGTGAAATCTTGGTTGGTTTCTCAACGTTTTATGTTCTACATTTACTTGGTTAGTTTCTCCATGAGGATTTGCAGTAAAAGCATGTTAAACTATTTATCTTTGCAGAAGTCGGTTGACAGATTTTTGATTCCTTCAATCGAACAAGTTAAAATCACTTGATAACTCACAACATAATTAGAAATTCAGTAGAGAAGAAACCTCACCTCTGTTGTTCAGATTGATCCGAGTGAGATCACTGCTGCTGCGAGCAACTCTGCTGGGTTGATTTTTAAGTAACCCATTGTTGGTATGGATATTCCATTCAGGTTCATTTATTTATTTATTTTTATATAAAAAATGGCAACCTAGCTTTTTACAGCTTCGATTTCATGTAGTATGCCTATATTAGTACCTATATATGCTTACATGTGACTGACAATGAATGCATCAAGAACCATGCTTATGAAATTGAGAACAATTGATGGGTATGAATCTATGTTGGATGATTCCTTTCAATCTTGTCTTCATCAAGGAAGAGTTGTGCAAAGGAGTGGAAATAATTATGGATTTAAGATCATCGCCTCAAAAGGCTTGATCATCGGTGCTAGTTTGCTATCAACCATTCAAACCCATATGCTAGTTTCTGTTTTTATTAAAGGTCACTGGCTCAAAAGCCTTGATCACCATGGTTGTGTCAGCCGATCATGAAGTATTTGACCTATGAGGATATGCAAGTTATTGTTATTGTTTTGAGTCCTTTTATGAGATTCTTCCAAATTATTTGTTATCTCTGTCCTTTTTTTCTGCTTGATTTGGTATATCTGTTCATCATCCACACCAGGTGCTTCTTTGTGTTTATATAATGCTATTTGGTGCTTCTGAAGGTACAATTCCCGCCTTAGATGAATTTTGGATAACAATGGTTGCTTTATTTTTATTATTGCTGAATTGTGGTGATCACACTTTTAATCTAAGGTTGAAGTTGAGCTTTCATAAATCGCTTTCAAAGAACCCTTCCTGTGGCTTTAGTTAAATAGTTGAAGGATGTTTGCTAGTTTTGATTTACACCACTGTTGGTGTAATATGTTGAAGATTTTGATGATGTATTGGATTTGGAGTAAAAAATCTCATAATCTCATATATATGCATATTGCGTAAGGTGGTGGCATAGTTTGCATATCACTTGTTCTTAAGCAGCTGTCATTAAGAATGCGTATCAATGATGAAGAAATTGGGGATAAACATTGTTATTATGCATAGTGGTCGCTCATGTATACAAAGGGTTAGTAGACAGTTTTAGTTTTAGGTCTTGGTTTGTGGTCTACCAAAAAACAAACAGTCTTACTGATTCAAATTTCAGACTTCAACACTACCTCTTATAAATTAGAAGTGAAATCAGACTTCAGATTTTAGCACCTCTTAAAAACAAATGCCACATGGGTTTATAAGACGCCTAAAATGTCTAAGCGTCCTAACATGATACTTTATAAGACTTAGGTTTATGGCACGAAACAAAATAGCGTCTTATCTAAAAATGTTATAATATGTTCATAGGACGCTTTTGGGTGTCTTAACAAGTTTATAGAACGCTTTAAACTAAAGTGTCATATGAGTTATTTTATACAACATTGTTTGAAAAAGTTCATATGATCACAAGTGCCCTGTAAATAGATGAGCTTATAGGACATTTCTCAAAATTGTTCTATAAAATAGCTAATACGACATTTTATTTAAAAAATTGTCCTAAAAAACTTGTTAAAACGTCTTATAAACCTATTCTAACATTTTTAGATAGAACGTTTTGTAGTTTGGTCCTATAAACTTAAATCTTAGTATTTCATTCGTCAATTTTATGTAATTACTAATCCGTCAACCCAACCAAACCCACAAGGGTCAGGTTCGATTATACATTTGAATGGATTGGATTGAGATTTTTCCAAACCGTTAATCACTGGGTTGGGTTATATAAATGTTGAAAACCTCCCAATCCAACCTGCATACACCACTACTTTAGCCAAAAGTAGAAGCATCGAAGCGAGCATTCATCCAATTCTTTAAGAATCATAAAGTCCCAAAAGCATATATTCATCCTTTGACAAACATCATGGCCAAGATGTAAGGCACATTCTCATATCTAATCAAGTAAACGTGTTCCACCATATGGCAGGATACTTTATTCAACATTCGCACATTAGAGCCACAATCCAACACAACTTGAAACATCCAGAGACAAAGCCAATTCATGATCAACGTCCAGTTGGGTATCCTAGCAAAACTGCATGCTACTCTATTTCAATGGAAGATAGAAAGTACAGAAAGGTAGACGATAACTATTTTTTTCTCTCTAAAATCAATAATTTCAAAGGATCTATTCTTGCTCAGGCTAACATCAGTAGCTTAATTGTGCCAGATAAAAACTAAAAAGAGTAAGATTTGATGGAATATGGTAGATCTCATTCTATTGCAAATGGTACATGTCATATCTAATAAACATGGCACTCATAAATTTGTCTTTGGAAGCTCTAGCACCATACTCTCAGAGCAATTAGCATATTGACTCGATTATCAAGCAAGTGGCAAACTAATGTTGTCAATGCACTAAAAGCAAAACTGTAAAGAGGAAAATTATAAGACGACTAGACCAGTGAGATGTGTCTCTAGTCCTATCCTCTCTTGTACTCTCCCACATGCAATTTTCAACCAACTAAAGCATGTATCCAAACTATTATGTGAAGCCTGCAAAGCATAACCCATTTGTAGTTTGTTTCTTTTCCTTTCCTCTTGGTTTTTCTTTTGTGGGGGTGTTCTGAAGGCAAATATCCGTACTTGGATCGTCCTTACCGGAGAAGCAAAGGTAGGGAATGAATTTAATAAGAGATCTTAAAAGGCTTCAAGTATCGCTTGTTCGTGATTTAAGAAATAAAATGGTATTTAGCCGTTCATGCTTTAGAAATGCATGATGATCTTACATATAATGCCTTCAACTTTGTTTTGCTTATTTTTTTTCATCCTCGATGTTCTTTATGTACACGATTTTGTATTTTTTATGTTAAATATATATATATATATATATATCTTTGTGACACTTGAATTAAAGCTTTAAACAAAGTCGCCCTGAAAAAACTTATGCGTGTAGCCTGAGAGAAGAAGTCAGATGAGAATTAAAAGAAATATTTGTTTAATATCTCTATGCAGATCCCCCACAAGGATCGCTTCAGGTGACAACTTAAAATATCATTATTGATTGCATTTGTAACGGTCTCACAACCAAAAACTAACTCAACAAAAGCAAACAACTAGACAATATGAACTTCAGAAAGGAGAAGCACATCCCACTCTAGTTCAATTAGTTGATCATCTCATATGAGTGTTAGGATTAGGAAGCCTATTTGTAGTGCTTCAAAGTGTGCCTAATGAGGAGACACAGCCCTCTGTTTATGTTTCGTCTGACAGCTAGTCCACCTTACTCAGACAGTGACTCAGACAGTGACTTCGTTTTACCGTACACCTATCTCAATGCTCAAATATTTATCTACTATACGTATCTGTTGGAGTGGGTTCACCTAATATGTCTTGTTCACTTCTTTTTCTTTCTTACAACAAGTTCTAAAGCTAAGCAAATGAGCAACCTTGAGATCTTCCATATGTAAAACTCCACGGATCTAGGATGAAGAGTACTGTCACGACTGTTGAAGAAATTCATCAACAAAACTCATACAAAGATTATTTTTACGAACACAGGCGTGATCATGAAGCTTCATTTACATCTATATGAACTAGCAGTCACAATCAATGTACTCCCAGTATACAGCATACAGCATGGCCATCAAACACAAATAAAATCCTGATATAGATAAAATATTCAAAAATATCACCATGTAACAAAACTACAATGGTAAATAACTGCATGCACATCACATTAAGCAATATTTTTAGCAAATAAAACCCAGCCAATCGACAACTTATTCTATTCATCATCGATCATCAAATTGTGAGATTTTTACAAGGACAAAGCGCTATATATTCATCCTGTCGAACAATATTCCTGTAATAAATCTAGGGATTGTACTCTATCTTTGTAGTTAGATTACTTGAATATTGAGAGTGATAGAAAGACCTGCGAATACTAAAAATCGTCATCGGGCTTCTTAGGCTTGCGATACCTTTCTTCCATTTGCTTCGCCATTAAAACTGCGTAATCTGCGAGCTTGTGGATATTCGGAACGTTGTAATTCTGAGCAATGTATACGCCACACACTGCTCCAAGCATAAACGAAAAACTGCTTTTTATGATTCCCATGCCTCCGCCTATGATTTTAGATTTGATCGAGTTGGCGATTAAAGAAAAAAAGAAAATGCTGATTGAGATCTAACTTTTTTGTTAAACTTCTGCGTTTTCGGAGAAGAAGGTTCTCGAAACTGGGAAACCTCCGTAGCGGCGCCAACGTTTTCAATAGTATAACCGCGACACCAGGCAAAAGAATCAGACCGGACTTAATCAGACAGACCGTGACCAGATCGGGTATCGTCGGAGTGGACCAAAAAGCCCACTAAAATCAGACCGGGCCGGACCATCTCGATTATTTAAGAGAGTAAATCACAAATTTCGTCCCTATGGTTTGACATAAATTATGGATTGTTCCTCAAGTGAAATAAGTCCATGAACGATTATTGTGGTTTATTTTTGTTATGGATCAAGTTTCTCATATTAACAACCGTTGTACATCTTCTTTAGGGATGGTGATTTGTCCTGACCAGGTGGAAAACCCGATTCACCCGACCCGAATGGGGACGGGGATTCCCTGCTAAAACGGGTCCCGGGGCCGGGGATTCCCGGTAGACACAAACCGGGGACGGGGGATGTTACTCAAACCGGGGATCCCTGATATAATCAAAATAAAGTATACTATTTACAGGGTTTGACAGGGGTTTTACCGGGTTTTGATCGGGGATTGTTAGAGATTTGACCGGGGACGGGATAATAATCCCCGTACCCGCCGGGGACCAGGGACGGGGATTACAAAACCCGCCCCATCCCCGCCCCGTTGCCATGCCTAATCTCCTCTCTTCCCCATATTCTCATGAACAAAAACAAATAACATGAACCAAATAATCCAAAACTGTTTAACCCAAATCACACTTGATTTGAACCGATTTCAATTTTTTTCGACACCCCAAATCAAAGAAATAACTCACTTCAAAATTGTTAAAAAATTTAGGTAAAAACAGAAATAATAAGAAATAGATTGATTTGAATCATAGATTCATAGGTGTGGGTTTGGATGAGGGTGGAAAAAAAAAGATATATTTTTGGTATTTTATTTGATTCTCTGGAAGACGTAGTATATGTGGGTTTCGTTGGAAGTTGTTTTTATGAAAGAACACGAAAGTTATTCTTGGTATTTGATTTGATGAATTTATGGAGTAAAGCAACTCAAAATAACAGAGAAACAGTTGTTTTTATTAAAATTTAACATAAAATCTGAAAAGCTTTCTTCCTAACCGAATATTGGTCTTCTTAAGTTAATCCATCAATAACAATTGCATGAATATCAACCCATCAAGAATAATTGCATGAACTTAAACAACCAATTCATTGGGTGTTGTAGTCCCAGGGGCTAAAGTATAATATTATAAAAATCCAGAGATCCCAATGATACACATTTAGGGGCCTAAAAATTCAGGATCCACATCTTCCAAGAAGAGAGACTCTCGATTATTCCATAGATTAACGGGGAGGTTTGGCAAGAGAGTCATTACCGCGAAAGTGAGTGCTAGTGTTTTGTAAAGCCATTTGTAAAGGAATAAATTATATAGAGAATAAGAGATAATAAAATGCCAATAAAACAACAAAACAATACAAGAAGCAAACGTTGCTCTGATACCACTTGTTGGTCCCAGCTGGATCTACAAAACTTATATGATCACTTTGTAGAATGGGGAGATGAATACAAACACATAAACTTTCACTTTTAAAAATTATATATTGATAAAAAAGAATCAGTACAAATTTTACAGATTGTTTGCGAAAAAGATAAGGTAAAGAAACTTATTTAAACAATCTAAGGATACACACTATTACACTTAGCAAAAAGAAAAGATTTGTTCTAAGAATTAAAGACTTAGAAAAGTGTTATTCACTTGTTTAAAGTTGTTCTTTCTCTTTAGAAAGAGTAATAAGATAAGTAATTTCTTGGATAAGTTTTTTAGAGAGGAAGAGTGATAAGTGAGTAGAGATCACTCAATTCAGAAGGTACACAAAACATGTCAAGCTTTTGGAGGAAAGCTTGTCTTTTGCTACAGTGAACAGTTCTTTTGGCTATTCATGAGCAAACATCTTTTCATAGAGTTGGTGAGCACTATAGAGTCAACTGAGTGGCTCCGCACAATACTATACTTTGGAAAAGGTATTGGTTTGTCCTTAGTGTGTGGAAAAACAAGACAAGAACAATCATGCATGGTAAGTTTTTTAGAGAGGAAGAGTGATAACTGAGTAGAATCACTCAATTCAGAAGGTATAGAAAACATGTCAAGCTTTTGGAGAAAAGCTTGTCCTTTGCTACAGTAAATAGTCCTTTTGGTTGTTCATGAGCAAACATCTTTTCATAGAGTTTGTGAGCACTATAGAGTCAACTGAGTGGCTCCGCACAACAATACTATACTTTGGAAACGGTATTGGTTTGTCCTTAGTGTGTGGAAGAATGAGACAAAAACAATCATGCATGGTAAGCTTCATTTGATCGTTGAATGCTGGGATGACGTTGGAGGTCTCTTCAGCATTCGCTGAAACTTGTGCAGTCTTCACACATATGTAGATGAGCTTGTAATCACTTAATGTCACTTCAGATCACGAACGCGATAATCTCTAATCTTCAGTTCCTGTCTTCGACATTGCTGAAGGTTCTTTGGTGTGAGTTTTGTCTTCTTGAAGTATAATAGTTACTGGAGAGTTAAAAAACATGTTCAACGATCACTAAACAGACTCAGTGATGATCGCTGAGACTAAAATATACAGAAACACTATACTTCTATAGATAAAAGAGATTATCATCAAATCAATGAGAGATGATCAACAGAGAATTACATGATGTAGGCAAAATTACCAACAAATTCCCATATATAAACCATAAATATTTCATATAGGGACACAAAAGTCTTTAATAAAATACTCATTTTAAACCCTAAACCCTAAATTCTATATCATTAAAGACTTTTGTGTCCTTATATGAATATTTAGGGTTTAGGGGTTTTTTTTTTGTAAAAGGGGACGGAACCCCAGGAAAACTTTTATTGATAAAATAAAGGATACAAAAATTTTGAATGGGCATACCCACTCATACAAATATAAAGTAAAAAAACCGAACCCAAAAGACAAACAAACAAGTCCAAAACAAAGGGACAATAGCCCAAGAAGGAAAACCAGCCCAAAGCAAACATAAGAGCCCATGAGCAAATGCAAACATCAGTCCATACTCCATAGTCCATTAGAAACCTTAGCCTAACTCAAATCAAAACATCACAAGTCATACGGCCGGCGAAACTTCAAAGCACATTCATCTTCGATTCGAAACCTCAAACCAGACCCTCCATCTTCGATTCGAAACCTCAAAGCACATTCATCAAACGACAGTAACACAAAGGCGCAAACAAAATCTTCGGCCGGCGATGCAAAACCCAAAACGATCATCCAAATCAATCATCAGTTGACCGATCGAACCTCCAATATTGAGAAAAAGAAAGTTGGACACCAATTGGGGTTAGGGCACAAGTCTGTCTGATTAAACCCATATGTAGCAGGCAATCAAGTGAATTTCATCCTCCAAAAGATTTCGAAAACCATTTGTAGCAGCATCCAAAGCAAACCATCGATAAAGCTTCAATTTTGGAAGAACCACATGTAACATAAAAAAGGATTAGGGCACGAAATTGGTCCACTTGTGCAGCATAGGTTAGATGGTGGCTGCACAATTGTTTGTGGACCCAATTTCCAAAAATGTCATAGTAATATTGGCTATCCAACAGAGTCAAATCCACACTGCTGCATCCCGCACAAAATAGAAGAAGTCTGTTATGTACCAGTAACCAAAAAGCACATATCTTGAAAGAAATCATATCCATCATTTGTATAAGATGGACACAACAACTTGCAAAGTATAGTAAGCACACACCATGGTTTTCACAACAAAAAATAGGTCCAATTGTAGCAGCATAGGGTAGATGGTGGCTGCACAATCTGTGTATAGGACCCTTTTCCAAAAAACACATTTTAGTATCAAACCAGTATCAGATATTGCATACAACACCCACCTCAGTCTTATACTAAACGCAGCTTCCATACAGTGCCAAGATCAAGTATACCTCTCCCTCCACAGTTAGTCATCTTTCAAAGTTAATTGGGATCCAATAATAGGAAACCAAACATCATCTTTCCAAAGCCAACCAAAAAACACAGTGGGAACAATCCAGTAAGATGTATGAACAGTACACAATCCCATACTAAGACCATAACCCCTTATACCTCTAGTAAACAAACTAAAACACCCTTTAATTCAGTTCCAGACCTTAGCCTATCAACCACACATGTGAAAAATAAACTAAATCCATGTTCACTAACCACCTTTAACACCAAAATCCCTCCAAACTGAAATGACCAAAAGAAAGTAGCAGATGGAAGGAGGACAAAAGAAAGAAACAGGAAGGGTTATAGAATGGACCAAGATAGAAAGTCACATTATGATACAGATTAGGCCAGATCAAAGATCAACAGCCCAAGTACCACAAATGAGACCAAGCACACTATATGGTAGGATCAAAAGATCAACCACCAACTAAGTGCTATAACTCAAAACAAAGATAAAAGATCCAATCCAAACAAACATAAATCAAGAGCCAAAACAGAAGATCAAGAATCAAAAAAATAGTAAATCGATCCTTGACCTCTAATAGACACCTTATCACTCCATTCAAGATTACCTCAAGAAAATAGACAGTGACCAAACAATCCAGAGAAATGGCAATTCAGAGTGCTGGCAAACAGTAATACCAGAAAAAACTTTAGTACAATATGTGAGCCACCAATGCCTACCTTTTACCACCTGAGAGTAGCATAAAACACCCAATCCAATTAACAAAACACCCCCATAAACTCCTAAGCATATGAAAACCCAAATTAACCATCCTAACCTCCCAAACTTCCATATCACTCCATATAAGGTTAAAATGTACCTACATTACAAAAAATGTTAGTAAAAAATATATTTTCTGGTCCCCCCGTCAAATCCCAGTGTAACCCAATATTTTCCGGTCCACCCTGTAAAAAAACCCACCCCATGGATTCTCAAAAGCAGTCACACATATCTCTCTACCTCTCAAGAAATGATAAAAAAAATCCTCTCATCTATATATACCAGACCGAGATAACAACATTATCCAACTTTCTGCCCATCTTTACTGTCCCATTCTATAAAGTCCCACTTTCTCATAGCTTGGTTATACATACTTCCCTTCTTGAGATCAACAACCAATAACTTTAGTCTAATACAATCTTTGATTATAGAGCATATCCCATCCACCTTCCTTTCTTTATCTTGAAAGATTCTAAAGTTCCTTTCTTGCCATATAAAGTATACCACAACTCCAATAAGCCATCTCTTAATTAAACTCCAGCATGATTTCTTGCATGGAGTAATACTGATCTTACTGATAAATCTGGGCCAACCATCATCCTTGTTAACAATGTCCAAAAAGAAACCTTCCATATTAACCAATCCAAGAAAGAACCTCCAGACCTCCTTAGAGTAATCACAATCCAGGAAAATGTGCTTATGAGATTCCGACTGCTTTTTACATAGAACACAATCCTTTATATCACCAATATTTCAGCTTACCAGTTTATCCCTGGTCCTCAGTCTCTCTTCATGGCCAGCCATATAATAAACGCATGCCTTGGGATATTTTGATGAAACCAAACCCAGTCAGCCCAACCAACAACCTCTATAATGTCTGACTTCATTCCAAGCCATATCAGCTCCGAAACCCATCACTCTGCCTTGTCTATCTCTCCATTTGATCACATCAGAAACATTAGGCCTCATCCTTGGTTTGCAGCTTCCCAAAACAGCACCATGCTTTTCCATTAATTCCTTCGGCCAATTCCATGAAACCCCATTGTGACATCCGTCACCAAACCAGGTTAGTCAACCGTAACTCAAAACCTAACGTTAGCCCTTTTAGTAAATTTATGTGCTCACATGCTTCCTGAAACATAAGGTGTGAAATTTTAGGAGTTGGGTGTGTTCATTTTTTTCCCCTTAAGTACTCTAGTCATTCTAATAGTAGAGAAAAGCTAAGTGTTTATAATTCCTAAGTTGAATTTCTTTTTTCGGAGTACATAATTAGTCTATATAAATGTTTTATGTGCATT